TGTTTATTTTCACTCTTTGTTGTTGTTTTTGCCTTCCTTTGCTGACTTGCGGCTCTACAACAGAAGAAACCATGTCTGTTTGCTTGTCCTGTGTCCAGCACCCTGGATGCATTCTTTTGAATGAATCTGCAAGCTGATGGATAACATCACAGGCATCTGCCTGACCTGTCTAGTGGGAGCACTGTCAGCTCTGAGCCGGCTGCTGTCCTTCAGAGAGCCTGGCTCCTAGAGTGTTACCATTAGACTTTGCAGCCAGCTGTCATACTGTGGCTCAACCCAAGACCCAACCAACCAAGTCTTTAGGAAAGGCCATCCTATGGGATATCTCCGGATACCTGCTGTTCTGTAACTATGCCTTATTGATCTCCTGAATGCAAATATTCTTTCCCTCCCCTCTACCCCAAACACACTCACATGAGTGGAGTGCATTTCCCCTTGGCATAAAGTACATGTGCCTACTGGCTGATTTATAACTTAGCTGTGTGACTTATTTTTGGCTGGTGAGATGTTAATGAGTTGATGTGAGCAGAAACCTTAAATGTGTCCCTGTACCTGAATGAAGGGAGTCCTGAAAGGCTTCTGCCTTCTGCCTGAGGCTGCAGCCCAGAGCTCTACCCAGGCCAGCACTGAACACTCCATTACCACAACCTTGGGAATGTCAGCTTAGAAATCCCATTCTTTGACTATAACACCTCTGCTGTCTATGAGGCACCGCTGCTTGACTGTCATCAGATCAGATTGTCTAGCCCAGCAGTTCTCAACCTGTGGGGTGCAACCCCTTTGGGGGTCTAACGTCTCTTTCACAGAGGTCACCATCAGGAAGCACAGATACTTAGATTATGATTCATAAAAGTAGCAAGATTACAGTTATGAAGTAGCAACAAAAATAATTTTCTGCTTGGGGGTCACTACAACATGAGGAACTGTATTAAATGGCCGCAGCATTAGGAAGGCTGAGAACCACTGTTCTAGCTCATGACTGTCCCCAGTCCCCATTCTGCCTCCACTAGACTCTTTCTACTTTCATGTCCTTTCCAACCTGAGGCCATAGTCATGTCTTAGCCAACTCTGGGCCAGCCAAACAGCAGACATCATTTCTGCTCCCGTGCAGCTGGATAGGAGCTCTCAACTACCCTAACTGACCATGTCACCTTCATAGCAGCTCATAGCAGCTCCACCAGCTGCTGCATCTCTGGATATTTGTGCATGCCTGACCCTATTTTTCCTGAAACAACAGACCTACTAGACAGGAATTCTCTAGTAGAAGGTAAGATAATAGTGTAATGAGAGAGGCAGGGGATGAAGCAAAAGAACCAGCAGTTAGAGCCCAGCTTGGGCAATATAACACAGCGGGTCCCTATTGAACGGCAGAGACAAATTGTAGACCTTGGTTTCTCAGGGCCTTACTCCTCAGAGCGCGACCTCAGGTAAACACTCATACCTGTATGGAATGGCTTCCATTTCTGGAGTTCTTTGAGTTCCAGGAACCTATTAGGTATACGGTCTCTTACTGATGCACAGATGTCCACTGATCTCAAGTGGAGCGCCAACTCACCAACACCTGTTTGTGCAGCTGCTCAGAGTGGGAATCACACAAACTCGAGGTCCCTCACTAACCGTCCAGCGTGTCGGTGAGTGGCATCTTACCTTTTAAGCTCCTCTCATAGCTTGCTCTCTTTTCTCCCCACCTGAGCTACTGAATTAACATTCCTAACCACAACCTGTGCATACGGTGCTGACACTGCTCCACTGGGCCCTCGATATATTGCTGGAATTACCTGTCAGATGTCATTTTTCTGGCTGTGTGGGTTGGTTTTTGTTAACTGACACAAACTGAAGTCACTTGGGAAGAGGGAATGTCAGCTGAGGAATCACCTCCATCAAACCGGGCTGTGGGCATATTGGTGGGAAATTTCTGGATTTCCTACTGGTGTGGAAAAGCTCAGCGCATTGTGTGGGGTACCATCCATGGAAAAGTGAGCCTGGGATGTATAAGGAGGGCAGCTGTGGAAGCCAGGGAAAGCAAGCCAGTAAGCAGCATTCTTCCATGTTCCCTGCTTCAGTCCCTGCCTTAGCTTCCCTCAGTGATGAATCGAATGAAACCCTTCCTCTTTATCCCAGAGTTGATTTGGGTTATGTGTTTTTCACAGCAATAGAAAGGAGATTAACATACCTATCAGACTATCAATACACTCCAAGAGCCCTCCTCCAAACCCAGTTCAATGTCTGAGCTCTGTCACACAAAACTCTCCACAGTCCCCTCTCACCAATGCCCAGTAGCATCACATGGATCCAGCTACACCTGACATCACTGCTTTCCTGAAGATACACTGCATTTTATACCCTGACCCTTCTACTCCCTCTGCCCAGAGTATTGTCCTATTTTTCCAACCCCTGAGCAAAACCATCACCTGTCAGAAAAGTCTCCTTCCTTTGCAACAGAGGTCACTACAAAAACAAACAAACAAACAAAAAACCCACAACCAATCAGAATGCAGAACTGTAGAGCCCAATTCCAATAGCTAAATCTACAGAACACTCCTACACCTAAAGCTCAGGAACGTTACAGAAGAGGGGGCAGAAAGAGTGCAAGAGTCAGAGGACCAGGGAGCTTGCTCTAAAGTTGTGTCTCCTAATTATGTCTGACGGTACACCCATTAAGTCTCACCAACACGGCTGCACAAACATGAACTAAAAGAAGGATGACACACATGAACACACCAAATGATAGAGAAAAACCCATGAAGCCTCAACCCTACATAAAGAACTACAGACAACTGAGTGTCTAAGGCCAAATGGTCAGCCCTGAAAACATATATACAAGTAACATTATACAGACTGAACAGGAAGAATATATGTGCGTGTGTATGTGTGTCTATATGCAATAATAATTAGTTTTTTTTAAAAGGGGGCCACGATTTGAAGAAGATCAGAGAGGGGTATATGAGAGGGTTTGGAGGGAATAAAAGGAAGGAAGAAATTGCAATTAAATTATAATTTCAAAAGAGACCCCTATATGCCTCTCTATTGTTCACTTAATGGTGTTCTCAGAGCACTTAGTCCAACTCAAGTTCGTATCTCATCCTTGGCTTCCCACTGTACCTGAATAGCATCTAAACTCTTTACCTATCTTACCCGCAGGACCACATGCGATTGAATCTCGATTTGGCATTTCACCCACACACACAGTCCCAATATAACCTAAAGCTAGTGAAAACCCTAAAGTTATCTTATTTACAAAAAATTCCAACAAGAAATCTAAAGCCATGCATTATAATGGTGTTTCTTTCTTTTTGTGGGTGTCCATGTGGAGTGTGTGTGTGTGTGTGTGTGTGTGCACACACACGTGTGCGCGCTCGAATGCTCATGTATTTGCACATGTGGAAATCAGGGGATCTTCGGTGTCATTTCTCAGGTACTCTCCATCTCTTTTATTTCTGGCTGGCCTGACACTCACCAAGTAGATTAAGCTTGGCCGTCTGCAATCTCCAGTGATCCACCTGTCTCCACCTCCCCTATACCACCAGGCCCAGCATTTTATATAGGTGCTAGAGATCAAACTGGGTTCCTCATGCTTACAAGGCAAGGCGCTTCACTGACTGAACTATCTTTACAGGACCCTGTGTCTTTCCTAATCTACTACTGAAAGTAGTTTTGTATTTTGACTTATCATCGTATCAATTAGAGGCATATGGAAAACATTCAATATGACATATATGTACATGGCATCGGGCTTTCGCTATCTCTAAGCAAAGCAATAAATGCTTCATATGTGTTTATCTCATTTAATCAGCTCTGTAAGGCAGGCAGCATTCTTCCATATTTTTAAGAGGAGACAGCAACTATCATCAAGGCTAAATGACTTGCCCAAAGTCATAGGAAGTTACAGGTAATTTTTACTTCAACCCAGGTCTGTGTCACTGCAGAGCTTGGATCCTGATCATTGTCCTCCCACACTATCTCATAGAATAGCTGCCAGGGTGAAGAATGGATTATATCCTGCAGCTGAGCTACCTGGGAAAAAAATGAACAAATCCCCAAATTAAATTTCCTAGAACCCAATTAAAGTGGCGGGGAAGTTTTAAATCTGCAGCAGAGACTGGCACTTCAAAATTTACCCACCTTCCAGAACTGTTAGGTTCACCCTGGAATACAGACAAACCCCTCTCCTCCCCTGGCTATAGAGGCATCTCAATACTACAAGTGTTTGGCTACAAATTGGGTCCAGTGGTCGGGTCAGCATCACTCCAAACCATCTTTGTAAACTAGGAATGTTGTTCATAGAAGTGAGCTGACTGTCCTAACTGCCTCTAATTCCACTAAAAAGCAAATAAAGAAAGCAGAGCTGCTGAAATCGCACAGCAGGGGCATTGCTGTGGATGCAGGCTCTCAGAGGACATCCAAGGCCAGCGGTGAGGTGTGTTCTGGCCTGGGAGAGGTGCTGGGTTTCTATTCTACTTTCAAAGAACTTTGAAGCTTCCAGAAGAATAACAAAGACTAATCCTCCAAGATCAAGTACTTTGCAGAAGAATTCCCTTTCCGGGTAAAGTGGTGTGCTGGCAGTTTGCTGTGGTTTCAAGGATTTAACTCAGGAGTTAAGAAATTTATCAAAGAAATTCCTATTTTAAAGGCACTACAGATGGCAACAGTGGATGCTGCTTCACTGTCTGCTGACCAAAGCCACCTCTCATGTTCTCCTGGCACAGACGCCGGGCATGTCGTGTGTGCAACATTTCCGCTTCACTTGAGGAAAAGGCCAACTTGAAGACCAGATATGGAAACTTCTGGAAGCAACAATCCCAAACGTATGTCTGTTATCCACCCTCAAGAGATGAAAGCATATCTTTGTTTTGATAGTCCGATCTATAGAGCCTTCTAGCCACAAGCTTTCCAAAACTCAGATTCTGACCAGATAAACTTGAGTTGTGTTGTACCCTGGGACTTGAAAGCTGATCCAAGTCAAGATGGAGCTTCGGCGTGTGCACAGGGCGTCTACTTACGCATACAGTCTCCTCCGTACCAGCCTGCTCTGCACTCTGCACAGTAGAATCCCTTCACGTAGAAATCATCCAGAGTTCCACCCCACGAGCCATTCCGGCAGCTCTTGCAGTTTTCAAAGATGGTACAACCTGAAACATCCCAAAATATTAGTCTACACGTCTTCAGAGTCTGAGTCTTCTCGGGAGACAAACTGCATGTCTCTCTTTCTGCACAGTCCCATCTCTGCCTGGGGCACCTGGCCCTGGAAAGACTCCAAAGATCTCAGGTGAACCTGCTCATCCCAAGGAACAGGAGAGTCACTGGGATTCAGCAAGGGGTGTGGGGATTTGAGCATCTTCCTGATTAGTGGCTGTTGTTTGAAAGAAAGTCACACAAAACAGCTTGTAGTGCAGGATGAATTCAGCTAGTGTGGTACTAGTTTTTGCTCTTTGCTAATTTATTTTATGTTTACTGTATAATAGAAAATTCAGACAAACAAAATTATTTATTTAATAAAAAGAAAAAGAGAAAAACACCCAAAATGGTATCATATGGAGAATTCTGTTAACACTCTTTCTTATACCTTGTGGCTGGGAAGATAATCCAGACCTGAGTTCAATCCTAGAACCAGGTTTATTAAATAAATATATAAATAAATAAATAAATAAATAAATACATACATACATACATACATACATACATAAATAAATAAATAAATAGGCTGGGTACGATGCATAATGGTGTGAATTTGTAATCCCAGTTCTGCGGAAGCATAGACAAGTAGATCTCTGGAGCTCACTGGTCAGTCTGCCCAAACTATTTGGCAAGTTCCAAGCCAGTGAGAGACCATGTCTCAAAAACAAGGTTGGGCCATGCCTGATGAATGGCAGCCAATGTTGTCCTCTGACCTCCTCACACATAAGTATACATGTATGCTTGCATACACATACAGCTGAATACGTATCCACACACACAAATTAAGTTTCTTCAGTGTACTACGCATTTTGTTTAAATCATTGCTTTTTATTTACAAATGGTAAATACCTTTCTATTAAATATTCATCTACGTTATGCACTTTTATCACAAAAATACAGCATGAAATCAGCCCCGATGACCAGCTAGCGTCTTGCCCTGGAAAAGTTAGGCAGGGAGCCCCCAGAGGAAAAGCACCCTGGAGAGACCTGAGTGTTGTTCGTGTGTGGTCCTCCTCAAAAGCAAGGTCTTTTGAAGGGTTGAGGAAGGGTAAGAAAACGTAGAAATAATTCCTTCTCATTTATCAAAACCTAAGCCCTGCCCTAATGCCCTAATGGCAAGATGTGATTAAATTGTATCTACCTCTCAGAATTATTTAAAAATACATTAACATGTGTAAAGTGTTTGGCGCATAGTAGTAAGCACTCTCAGATTATGAACTATTACTATTGTGCTTTCCCATAATTCCACCTGGCTTATCCTTATCATTATACACGCCATGCTTAATGTTACCGCTTATTGCATTCTCTCCTACAGCAGACTCAATCAAGGAGATATATCTTCATCTGCATTAAACACCCAGAACCCAGTTTAGTGCTGAATAAAAATTATCCCAGAGAATGAATGACTAATGAACTGGTGGAGATGGCCACTGTTTGCTCGAGTTGACAACATGCTTCTTCGCTTCGTGTGTGTGTGTGTGTGTGTGTGTGTGTGTGTGTGTGTGTGTGTGTGTATGTGTGTGTGTGTGTGTGTGTGTGTGTGTGTGTGTGGAATATGTGTGTGTATATGTGTATGCATGTGTGTGTGTGGTGTATGTGTGTGTATGTGTATGCATGTGTGTGTGTGTGTATGTGTGTGTGTGGTGTATGTGTGTATATGTGTGTGTGTGTGTGTGTGTGTGGTATATGTGTGTGTGTATGTGTATGCATGTGTGTGTGTGGTGTATGTGTGTGTATGTGTATGCGTGTGTGTGTGTGTGTGTGGTATATGTGTGTGTATATGTGTATGCATGTGTGTGTGTGGTGTATGTGTGTGTGGTGTGTGTGTGTGTGTGTGTGGTATATGTGTGTATATATGTGTATGCATGTGTATGTGTGTGTGGTGTATGTGTGTGTGTGTGTGTGTGTGGTGTATGTGTGTGTGTGTGTGGTGTATGCGTGTGTGTGTGTGTGTGTGTGTGATATATGTGTGTGTATATGTGTATGCATGTGTGTGTGTGTGGTGTATGTGTGTGTGTGTGTGTGTGTTATATGTGTGTGTATATGTGTATGCGTGTGTGTGTGTGGTGTATGTGTGTGTGTGGTGTATGTGTGTGTGTGTGTGTGTGTGGTATATGTGTGTGTATATGTGTATGCATGTGTATGTGGTGTATGTGTGTGTGTGTGTGTGTGTGTATGTGTATGTATGTGTGTGTGTGTGTGTGGTGTATGTGTGTGTGTGTGTGTGTGTATGTGTGTGTATATGTGTATGCATGTATGTGTGTGTGTGTGTGGTGTGTGTGTATGTGTATGTGTGTGTGTGTGTGTGTGTGTGTGTGTGTGTGTGTGTGTGTGGTGTTCTATAGCAGTTGGACTCAGTCCTCTTTGCATTTCCTCCTGACTTTGCTTTTCCTCCTACCCGAGAAGCTGAGCTGCTGGTATGATGAATGTGGTTGGCCCATCCTGTGTCCCACAACTGGGCTCCCTGAGCCTTCCACTCACTTGTCACTGAAGAGGCGAATGGACTCAGAACCTGTCCTCAACAGCCCTGCTAACTCTGTTCCTTGGCACAGCCACACATTGGGGTCCTTAGGTTCCAGCCACAAAACCCATCTTAGAGATGGAGGTGAGCCAGGCTCTGCAGGAGACACGCTAGGAAGCTCACAGGCTGCCAGAGGGGCTATCACAGAGCTGAACAGCCTGGGATCAAAGGAATTCACACCGGCGCATCCAGGGCGTAGGTTCAGCTGGATGCCACTGGAGGTTATCATTGACATCTTTGACACTGATGTCCCCAGATCTCAATTGCCCCTATATCACTTACAACCACAAAGAGATGATCATATAAAAGAAAAAAAAGCCCAGGCTGCCCTCAAACGTCCTATGTAGCTGAAGATGTTCTGATCCTATTTGCCTTGATCTTCAGAGTTCAGGGATTGATCATAGGTCACAGCACCAAGCTTATGCAGTACTGGGAGGGGGAGGGGTCAAATCAACCAATTGAGCTATATCCACAGCCCCCCAAAACTAAGACCATCGCTTTCTTTTATGACAGAAATGTAATCTGAAACTATAATGGCATTCCATTTTCTACATATGAGGTTGATAAAAATCCAGATGACATACTTTGTTACAGAGGTTGCTAAAACAATACCCTCACATACCCTCAGCATGAGTGCTAAATTCATAGCAAAGAATTAGGCAAAAGCTAGAAAACAGCATATTGCTTTCCTTTTACCCATGACCTCACTTCTAGGAATCTACCTCTAAAATAAACTGAAAAAATACTAATTTATGTGTGCTTAAGAGTATTCACTGTAGTGTTTTGGGGACAGGTTGGACTTCCCTAATCTGAGATTTTTTTTTAATTCAAATAGGATTTGTGTGTGTGTGTGTGTGTGTGTGTGTGTGTGTGTGTGTGTGCGCAAACATGTCACTTCAAGTAAAAAATTCCATAGGCAGCTAATATCCAAAACAAAGGATATATTAAAAAATACTGTATAAGCCGGGCGGTGGTGGCGCACGCCTTTAATCCCAGCACTCGGGAGGCAGAGCCAGGCGGATTTCTGTGAGTTCGAGGCCGGCCTGGGCTACCAAGTGAGTCCCAGGAAAGGCGCAAAGCTACACAGAGAAACCCTGTCTCGAAAAAACAAAAAACAAACAAAAAAAAAAATACTGTATAAAATTACCTCAAACTATGGGTATAAGTTGCATAAGAGATAAGGGAATTTCACATTTAGCCACCTCCAAAACACCTCATTACTTATATGTGCAAAATTCTCTAGAGTCTAAAATCCAAAATATGTTGGGTCCCAAGCACTGCAGATAGTAAATATTCAACTTACAATAGCTAAGGGCTAGAAACAGCCCAATGCCAACAAGATATAGTAATTCATACAATGCAGTCATATGCAACCATGAAAAGAAATGAAGAGGATGGCTCTATCTGATGTAAAATATCTCCAGCACACATTGTTATGAAAAAAATACTACAAGATAATTAGCAATGTTTATGGTATGTTGTCTTTTGCGTGAAATAAGGAAAGAGAAATAAATGCATGTGTCTATTCCCTTGCATTTTCAGATATAGAAAACAATTAACCTATCTAGATATTAGATAGGCAGCATAACACCAAAGAGGAAGCCACATCCATTGATTTTACAGTATAGCATTTTGATTGTACACATCTACTGGCATGCATTCTAAAGTCAAGGGTAACCATAAAGAATCATAACTGTATGCAGTGGGATTATTGGTGGTACAGACAATGCTATTCTTATTTTTCACATTTATAGTATGCTATAAGATGAGGCAAATAAGGAATTACATTAATATTAGTAGGAAATGGTTTTTCACCATGAGAGAAAAATCAAAGTAGTAAACAGCCTTGTACTGTTATGTATGGACTTGAGTATTTGCATGCATTCTATTTTTCTTTAAAAAGGTAGGCAGAGGATAGATACTAAAGGGATGACAGATAGGTAGGCAGATAGACAGACAGATAGACTGATTGATTTATAGATAGATGATAGATCTACAGACTGACCACGTCAAGAGGTGGATTTTGTTCAAGAATAGCCTGAGCTAATGGAGAGATCCTATCTTAAAAGCATCAGGGTCTGGGAATGTAGCACAATAGTAACATGCCAGGCATCCTATCCTGGGCTTGATTTCTATCAGTGCAGGGGTGTGTGTGTGTGTGTGTGTGTGTGTGTGTGTGTGCTCTAACAAATATCTCACAAAGAAAGAAACTAAAAAATGATTATTTATTGTCTTAGGATTTCTATTGTGGTGAAGAGACACCATGACCACAGCAACTCTTAGAAAGGAAAACATTTAATTAAGGTGGAGGCTTAGAGTTTTAGAGGTTTAGTCCATTATCATCATGGCGGAGAGTATGGTGGCATGCAGGGAGACTTGGTGCTGGAAAAGGACCTGCTACATCTTGATCCACAGCCAACAGGAAGTAGACTGAGACACTGGCCATGGCTTGAGCTTATATGAGATCTCAAAGCCTGCCTCTATAGTGACGCACTTCCTCCAACAAGGCCATACCTACTCCAACAAAGCCATACCTCCCAATAGTGCCATTCCCTATGAGCTTATGGAGGCCAATTACACTAAAATTACCACACCTATCAACAATGACAATCCAAAATCCAAGAATACCCCCAGCACCCAGACTGCACTCTTAAGATAAGAGTTTCTTGGAGAAATAGCTGATGAAAGATCTGGGCTGGAAACATATATGAAATCTGAAAGACTTGTTCATGATAGAAACCCAAGAAGCCTTCTCAAACTAGTGTGATCACACCAGTGGACATGTCTGAAGGACAAGGACTAAAGGACTAAAGAGACTCTCAGAGACCTAAAATGGGATCATGTACATGCTAAAGAAGTAATGGCTGAAGTCCATAAACTACAAATATAAACAAACTGCAGTTCCCAAGGACACACACTGAGACTCCTTGGATCCCCAATGGTGGCTGCTAGTGAATCAGCTCACTGCTCTGAAAAGGAGTTTCAAAGCAATCCTTCTTCCTTTGCCTTGTTTGCCTTTCAGGGTTGCAGAGTGATTTGTGTGGGACAGTCCTTCTCTCTCCAGAGCCAGTGATCACTCCCAGAACCTCCAAAGGAGGGACTGCAGACCCTGGGTGCTACCTGTTGGTTATACATTTCTTGCCTATCATGTGACTGACTGACCCTCACATCACCTCATAACAGCTGAGGCTGCCCTGTGGTTGCCCAACAGCCAATACAGGTCTCTCCCAAACTATTCAAAGTCATGCAGACCACGGCTAGTGTCCCATAATAGAGGAATCTTGAGGTATTGTTCAGCCATTTCTCCACAGGCCCCTCTCGCCTGTCAGGGAGTTGGGGTGGTAAGTTTCCTTTCTGAACGCAGTTGTGCAGTTCTCCTGAAGCCAATCCTGTTTTCATTTTCAAAGCTACTCTATGTTCTTAAAGAAGGGGGAAGACAAAAATGAAAGAAATTCCACCAGCACAGTTTTGATACTTCATTCTTCAGCCTTCAGAAAACTTGCTGGGCAGTCTCTGTGTCCCCCATCTGACCTTTCCCAGAGGGACAAGATGAGCCTCCTGGGGTGGGGGTGGGGAAATCAGAGTGCAATACAGCAATAGTTCCTTGTTTTTCATGCTGGAAAACGTTCAGTGCCGGTCACAATGGAAACGTGGTGAGAGGCTCAATGTCGATCGTCCTTGATTTCTGTTCTTCCCGCCCAATTCCAAACTATGGCCAGTTCCACTCCCTGATGATTCTCAGCCCTCCCCCAACTCTATCCACCAGCTCTGACCTTCATTGCAGCCCCCATTAATTCCCTCTTGCCCCTCATCCTGCCCTCCTCCAGGTCCTTTCTCCATCTATAGCTAAAGAGAAATTGCTTTTAACCATTCACAAAAAGATCTCCAATAGCCTGAATCTCATAGCGGGGCTTTGGGAACAGCCCTTCCTAATCTGGCTCCTGCTCCTTCTTTCAAATCACTCTCCCTTAATATCTCCTTATCTATCTCCCTTTGCTCACTTCTCACAGCACACACTTGCTTTTACTGCCAGAGGGAGCTTTCTGGAATTCTCGAAGCCTCATGCTTCCTCTTGACATAGGTTCTTTGCATGTTCCGCCAACAGCTGAGCCCCTCTGGTCCCCCAGATCCTCTTGAGTCTGCTGCTTCCATCCTCAGAATACACATCACATCACCTTGCTAAACAAGTCTTCATTGATCTTGCCTCTGCCTCACCCCATTCTCATCCCTGTTACCATGGTATCCTGTGCATCTCTACCACAGTACTCACATAGAACCAATCGTAGCTCCCTGTTCCCCACCCTCCCTACCAGGCTGTAAGCTCTGGCAATTTTGGGCATGTGTCTTTAAACAAAATGCCTGGAGAGATGGCTTAGTGGTTAAGAATGTATACTGCTCTTGCTGAGTTCAGTTCTGGCACCCATACCAAAACTGCGTGAAACTCTGGCTCCAGTAGATATGACACCATCTTCTGACCTCTGTGGGAATGTGCACGCACACACACATACGCACAAATAAATAAATAAAAATTTTAAATAAAAAACAACAACAGAACTGTCACATTGTCCTCTCCATCCCTGCCTAAGAGCTTCTCATTCTGCTTGCTAAGTGAACAAATAAGTGGACAAACTCTCAGATTTCCAACTTGATCACTGAAAAGAATACTAATTCTTCTGATTCCTTTTCCTGCGGTCAGACTTAGCTGCGTTGTGTCACGCCTAATAACCATGGCGCCATGTGGGAGTCCAGCTCCGACCTGCTCCCACCTTTCAAAGGGGGAGGAGAGAAGAATGAGGAAATATTAGGGAGAAATATAGATGGAGACAAGGAGAAAGACAAAAGCACAGGATAGCTTCAGAAGGGCCCTGGGTCAATACCCAGCCAAGCCCAGAGCTTTATTCAAAAGGGCTTTTTATAATAAACAAAAGATCTCCCCCTTATAACATCAAAGCACACCGTACAGCCAAGTGTAGACCCTTCCAAACACCTGGTAACCACGCCCGTGACAAAAATCATCCCATTATGCAGCCCTGCCAGGTAAAGCAAGCCCAGACTCTCTGACTCTGAGTAAGGTCTCACTAGAAGCCTCTGTGGGCTCCCACAGCACCACAGCCCTGGATGGATGGCTGCCTGCTGCAATCCAGACATTCACTCTGATAATGTGAAGACAACTGGTGGTGTCCCATTGCACACTCACCTGGGTGAATCAAGCAGGAGTCACACTCATTGTCCTCATTCCTGCAACACGGGATGGTGTAACCCACCACTTCCTTCTTTCCTGGGCAGACGCACTCAATTTGATCATATTCACAACACTCTCTACACATGATGTTCCACTCAGCTCCAGGGCAGGCTTCGTTAATGACGGTGTATTCTGCAATGGGAAGCAAGCAGGTGAGGCCAGGACCTAGCAGGCATTGTAAGACCCACAGACATGCCACCGTGAGGAAGCAACCTTACCCTACCAGAGTGTCGTCTTGTCTGAATGAGAGGCACTGGTGTAACCTCTTCCCAAGCCAGTGTCTCCAAAGTGAGGCGACCTACCCCAAGAGGTATTCAAAGCCAGTCATTGGTATACAGATGAAATTTGTTCTGTTTTTCATCCCATTTTTAGTCTTTAAAGAATCATATTTCAAGGGCTGTTGATGTAACTCACTTGGTAGAGTACTTGCCTATCTAGTATTCATGAAGCCATAGTTTTGATCCCCAGCACCACAAAAAATGGGTGTGGTGGTGCACATCTGTAATCTCCAGTATTTAGGATGTGGAATCAGGAGGATTATGAATTCTGGGCCATCCTTGGTCTACATAGCAAGTTCTAGGCCAGCCTGAACTACAGGCAACCTTTTCTCAAATAAATAAACAAATATATTGTAAAAGCGTGCTTCATCAAATGCAAGTAGACAAGCAGTAGAATGTCTTTATAATCAATGAAAATCCCTTAGGTTCTGAATTTGCTGTTTCAGCTGTGCTAAAGATTGAAACCAAAGCATTCATCACCAAACTGCAGCCCCTCCTCGGTCCTCATATCTATTTTTCTTGAGATATGTCTAGCCACTGTTTATAGCTGTATGTGTTGCTCACTGCACAACACCAAGAGAGACAATTTGAATGCAGGGTTATATAAGGGAGCCTGGCAATGGGGCCCATCAGAAATGCCCAGAGAACACTCTCTAGATGGGGGCATTCAACTGCAGGGTTACAAAGGGAAGCCTGGCAATGGGGCCCATCAGAAAAGCCCAGAGACCACTCTCTAGATGGGGACATTCAAATGCAAGGCTGGTGGCCAAGTGGAGACTGTGTCGTTGCTTCCAAACTTGGTTCTTCAGTGTTGCAGGATGCCATAGCCATAGTATCTTCAAATATAAAAGCAACAGAGAGGACAACAAGTACCTTCATTAGAATGTTTGGGAGAATGTCAAGGGTGAAGTCAGTACCCCAACTTAGTACAACCATGCATTCTTTCCGGGAAGAAAAAGTATTTGTTTGTCGGTGAGATATTTTTCCTTTCATTCTCTTCATTCCTTTTTATATATGCAAAAATATACCTTAACTGAAAAAAGAAAACCATCTGGCAAAATCTATAACAGGGATCAGCTGGCGACTGCACAGAGAAACTCAGGCTAAAACACAGACCTGCTAGCTTGTATTTAGTCTTCTTGTTTTCCTTTTTCCCCACTCTCCATTTCCAAAAGTGTTGCATAAGATGATAAAAGCAGAAGTGGGTCGGGTATTTGAGGAAGAAAGTGTATCTGTCTGGGCAAGGTCCCATGAAGCCTTCCCTAGAAACTCTCTGCAGGGATCCCTAGCAGGCATCATGCCTAGCATCTGTGATGACTTCAAGACCTTTGAACCTCATAGTTTAGCTCTCTGTTTTTCTCCCCCAGGTTTGGAAATTCCAACACAAGATTGGTCACTATTAATTTACCAAATAGAACCATAAAGAAAAAATTCACTATCTACTCTCAGGCTCAGGTTAAAAGAACATTCTAGAAACATGCAAAAGAACTGCTTGTTTATTTATGAGACACTTCATTAAATTGAGTAAGTCTAATGTTATGAAAGACTGACTTTCTTTCATCCTTTTGCACTAACATCGATGGACCAGCAATGACCCTCGCCTTGGCGTTAGATTGACATGAGGCTTTGTTTCGGGAACTCTATGCTCAGCTGTGCCTCCATGATCTTAGCCCAACTTCTGAAATCTAGATAGAAAGAGAAAGTGAACACTGGGTGATGTGCAAGGGCAAAGCCCATGACTCCAGATTCATCAATGAATTTTTATTTTTATTATTAGGTTTTATTCTTTAAGAATTTCATACTGTATATTTTGATCACGTTCTACATCATCTACTCCCAGATCCTCCCCTCTCTACCACCCAGCTTCATGTTCCTTATCTTCTTTAAAAAAAAGAAAAGAGCCATTAAAAGCCATGGAATCCAATCTGTGTTGGCCAATTACTCCTGAGCACGGGGCTTGTCCTGGAGTGTGGTTGATATACCCAGTGTCACTCCATGGGAGAAAACTGACTTTCACTTTCCCAGCAGTTATCAATTGCAAGTAGCTTCTTGGCTGGGGTGGGACTTTGTGCCTACATCCCCTTCTTCCTACTGGGATTATGTCTGGCTTACACTTGCACGGGTCTTGTGCATGATGTCACAGTCTCTGTAAACTCCGTGCACCTGCCCTGTTGTGTCTGGGAAACGCGATTTTCCTAAAATCATCCACCCGCTCTGGTTCTTACAGTCTTTCTGACCCTTCTTGCACATGATCCCTGAGCACTGAGAGGAGGGGCATGATAGAGACACCCCATTCAGGGCTGAGCACTCCAAAGTTTCTCATTCTCTCTACATTGTCCAGTTGTGGGTCTCTGTGTTAACCATCTACTGCAAGAAAAGCTTCTCTGATGGGGGTTGAAGAGTGCACTTATCTATGGGTATAGCAATATGTCACTAGGAGGGGTTTTTTTTATATAAAATTACTATTATTTACACAATTTTTATATACAGAATATAACTGCTTTCTTTAGAACAAGAAAATCTACAGATGATGGCTATTGCTATTCTTTCATCAAAAACTTCTTCAAGCAAGAAGGTGGTAATTTGCATTTAGAATAATATGGTGGTAAACAATGGATATTAATATTTTTGTCTGTGCCTTAATCGTTTATCAACAATTAGACTTTTGAACCATGATTGGCCACCTGCTGTGATATCTGTGATCAGGAGGGAAAAAACTCAAAAAAGAAAGACCTGTAATCACATCTTCTTGAGATTTATAAAACAAATCCATATTTATATCATAGATCTTTCCACCTTCTAAGCTAAGTACACTGATTATGTTTCTTTTTTCCCAATATCTGTTTTGAAGCTGTAATAGTAGGATAATTTGTCGACTAATTTGATTCTGTGTACAAGGAATGCCCTTATATTTTTATACAATAAATTACACCTCTCATAAAATTAGTTTATTACAGAAGAACAAGAGATAGAGGCTAAAAAAAATATTATACAGGGATATGTAATAATTTACTCAGTCACAGTAATCTAACCCAAGTAACATTAAGGAAAAAAAAACTTTTCAGGACATAAAATTTTTTAAATTTACAAAAATGGCATTGAAATAGCATTGTGAATTACTCCCATGATTTTGTGACATTACTCACATGAAATAGATGCATACTTTTGAGAATTTCCATCTAATTTATAGTTCTTCCTTCATGACAAAGACGTTAAACCATAAATTTTACTCTAAGCTACAGAAAGAGAAATGCACTCACAGCAAGTTTCAGTGAATTAGCATCACTCTTAGACTCACTGAGCCTTGGCCTCTTTTGCTTAGGAACTTGAAAACTGGCCACCTTTTTATCAATGCACAAAGATGAAAATTACCTAGATGTAAAAATATTTTTCCAACTGAAATACATACAAAGCAGTGCTAAGAGGAAAGTTCATGGCACTAAGTACCTACATTAGAAGAAAGAGAGAGAGACAAAGACAGAGAGACAGAAACAGAGATCTCCCTGGCAACTTAACAGCACACCTGAAATCTCTCGAACAAACAGAAGTAAACACACCCAAGAAGGGCAGACTGCAAAAAACAATCAAACCAAGGACTGAAACCAATAAAATAGGAACAAAGAGAACAAAACACAGAATCAATGAAACAAGGAGTTGGTGCTTTGAGAAAATCAACAAGATAGACAAACCCTTATCCAAACTAACTAAAAGACAGAAAGAGACTATCCAAATTAACAAAATTGGAAACAAAATGGGGAACATAACAACAGACGCTGAGGAAATCCAGAGAATCACAAGGACATACTTAAAAAGCCTGTACTCCACAAAATTGGAAAATCTAAAAGAAATGGGCAATTTTCTTGATGGATACCACTTATCAAAGTTAAATCAAGATCAGATAAGCAATTTAAATAGACCCATAACCTTAGTGAAATAGAAGCAGTCATTAAAAATCTCCCAACTAGGAAAAGAAAAAAGAAAAAAGAAACAACCCAGGGCTAGATGGTTTTAGTGCATAATTCTACCAGACTTTCAAAAAAGAGTTAACACCAGTACTTCTCAAAGTTTTCCACAAAATTGAAACTGAAGAAACATTGACAAATTCATTTTATGAGGCCACAGATACTTGGTGTCCAAACCACATAAAGACCCAACAAAGAAAGAATTACAGATCAATTTCTTTTATGATCATAGATACAAAAATACTCAATGAAATACCTGCAAACTAAATCCAAAAACACTTCAAAAAGATCATCCACCATGACAAGTAGGCTTCATCCTAGAGATGCAGGGATGGTTCAGTATATGAAAATCAGTAAGTGTTAATCCACCATATAAACAAACAGAAAGAAAAAAAACACCATGATCATCTCATTAGATGCAGAAAGAACCTTTGACAAAATCCAACACCTCTTCATGATAAAAGTCCTAGAGAGTTTATGGATACAAAGGATATGCCTAAACATAATAAAGGCAATTTAGAGCAAATAAAATGGAAAGAAACTCAAAGCAATGCCACTAAAATCAGGAACAAGACAAGGCTATCCATTCCCTCCATACCTATTCAATATAGTAGTTCTATAGCCAGAGCAATAAGACAACTGAAGGAGATCAAGGGTATACAAATTAGAAAGGAAGAAGTCAAAGTATCTTTATTTTCATAAGATAGGATGCATAAGTGACCTTAAAAGTTTCACCAGGGAACTCCTACAGCTAATAAATGCTTTCAGCAAAGTGGCTGGATACAAGATTAACTTTAAAAAAATCAGTAGCCTTCCTTTATATAAATGACAAATGGACTGAGAAAGAAATCAGAGAAACATCTTTCACAATAGCCTCAAATAATATAAAATA